TGCTACATGTCTCACTTCCCCATTTGATCCCGATTTAATCAATTTTACCTGAGCAATTATAATCTTATTGGTTGACCATAGTTTTGTCCCACCTTATGATTTCCCATTTTTCCCCACCTTGGATTCACCTCACCTAGCGTGAATTTGCTCTATAAAAATCCCTAGAAAAGGCAGGTTCCTAGGCAACCCACTCAGGTCCTCTTCTGTCCCTTTCCCCTAATAAATATATTCTGCTCTTAACCTCAGTTGTTCCTAAAATTCATTCTTCCATTTTAGAGAACATGAGCTCGTCCCAGATATCTTTCAGGTCGTGAGTTTCTTTCCCCTATATCACTGGCAGTACTGGAACAATCATGATAAATAAAATCAAAATAGGTTTTTAAGCCTCCTTGAGCAGGCAGGAATGATATGGGTTGCAGCTGTGGCAGCAGCACCCAAAGAATTATAGATGGACAACCTTGGACGACCTCACTAAGGTGTGGGGCCAATGAGTCAACACAAGCATCCTGCCTCCTACCAGTGAAGTGTATATCGGTCTTCGTCCTGTTTCCTGAAGGACAGCTCTTAGGCCCTTGGGTTTTTTTTCTCAGTGGTAAGTGTGCCTTTTGTGTGCTAATTAGATGGTTATCGGATTGGGGCCCAGACAGTTTTGGAAGGGGCCGGGTCACTGGAAAAACTGAGAGGAGCAGGGACAAGGTTGCCCATGCCTGTAATCCCAGCACTCAGGAGGCTGAGATAAAAGCAATGCTGAGAGTCTGAGGCCAACCTGAGTTACATAGTGAGTTTAAGACCAGCCCATTTGATTCCCAGGATCCCCTCCAAAACAAGACCAGCCCAAACTGCACAGTGAGCTAAAAAAAAAAAAAAGAAGGAGAAAAAGAAAGACCAAGACATAAGACAGTTAGGACTTCCTGCAGTTATGTCTCCTGGGCAACACTGTGACCAAATGGGCCTGCATGACACCTCCAAAAGAACCCACCCCAGCACTCTGGGGGCCTGAGGCTGAAGGGTCACAAGTTTGTGCCCCGCCTGGGCAACTCGGCAAGATCCTGTCTCCAAATAAAAAAGCCTAGAGATACGCAGCTCAGTGGCAGGGCATCCATTACCCAATACAAGGAGGAAGACAACACACACACACACACAGCAACAGAGTCATAAAAAGTTACTGCTCAGAGTCTTCAGAGGTCTTTCTTTAAATCCACCCCTTTGTCTGACAGATAATGACATTTTATGGAGACATTTCTCGGTAGCTGCAAGGCTGCAGCCCACACCCTCATCCCAGGTTAGCCCCACTGAAAGGTGTTATCCTTGGGAGGGAGCAGCTATCTTTGTGTGAGGGGCTGTCTGTCTTCTAGTGGGCTGCAAAGGGGTCCACAGTCTACTCTGCCCCAGCACTCTTTTTGTTTTGGTTTTTGTTGTTCTGAGATGGCTCCATATACAGTTCAGATTAACCTTGAAGTCACTATGGAGTCCAGGCTGGCCTCGACTGGTGATTGAACCCAGGCCCATGCTAAGCAAGCACTCTACCACTGAGCTATATTTCTAGCCCAAAATATATCTGAAATCTGGGTACTCTGGGAGGCCGAGGCAGCAGGACTGCAAGTTCCAGCTTAGCATGAGCTTCAAAATAAAAGAAGTGCCGGGCAAGTAACTCAGGGTGAAGGCCCTGGGTTCCATCCCCAGCCCCCTAACCCCTTCCCACCACCACCACCATAAAAACATTTCCAGTGGGCTAGGGACATAGCTCAGTGTGAGGCTATCTGCCTAGTATGTGCCAGGCGCTGCGTCCGCTCCCGGGCACCAAAAAGAAAAAAATTAGTCTCCTACTTTTAAAATCTTCTTTAACAATCTGACCCCAATTTCCCTTTTCATTTTTTCTCTCCTCTCCTATTGAAAGATGTGCCCACCCGGTGTAAACTTTCCTAACCCATCGGGGTCCGTCCTGTCCTCGCTGTCCCTTTCCTCCGGGGACCCGTGGAGGTCTGTCACTCACTCAGGCGCCCCTGCACGCGCGGACACAGGACCGACTCAGGGGGGCTGGGACCCGCACCGCTCAGCCTCCCCGCTCCTGTGCTCCGGTCGCCCGATAGCCGCTGGACCCCCGCGCCCCGCCTCAGAGGCCGGAACCAGCACTCCTGGGCCGTTTCTGTACCGCTGGCCACGCCGCGAAAGGGGAAGAACACGCGAGAGCGGCCGGACCTCGATGCCTCCTTCTCACGCGAGGACCCAAGACACAGAACCGGGAGCCTAGACGTCACCTCGGCTGGATGTCCTGATGTGGAAACGGGTCTTTCCGGGAAGCCGGGCCGGCTGGGATGCCTGCCAAAGGGGTTCACGTCGGCGAACCCGCAGCCCCGCCAGCGCCCCTTCGCGCGCGCGGACGCCGCTGACCTAGAGGCCGGGGCGGGGCCCACGTGCGGGGCGGTGCATTGGGGCGGAGCCCACAGGCGCCGGGCCCATGTGCGCGGGGCGGGGCCTCGGGGGACAGCCCCCTGCCGGGCGGGGCCTCGGGGGGCGGGGCCGCGCGTACGGCACGTCCCTCGCGTGGGGCGGAAGGGGCGGGGCTGGCGGGAGGCGCGGGCAGCAAGCGGCCGAACATGTCTGGGGGCAGCAGCTGCAGTCAGACCCCAAGCCGGGCCATCCCCGCTACCCGCCGGGTGGTCCTCGGTGACGGCGTGCAGCTGCCGCCCGGGGACTACAGCACTACCCCCGGCGGCACGCTCTTCAGCACCACCCCGGGAGGTAGGAGCGGGTCCGGTGCGATCGGTGTGCCGTGGCTGGGAAGAGCAACCGGGAGGCGTGCAGAGCCTGCGAGCGGCGCGGGTGTCCGCCCCGTCGCCTGCCTGCCGGGTGCGCGGTCGGGAGCCCGGGCTGCACACTGCTCGGTTAGGTACCGCGGCGTGGCCCCGCGCACACAGACCCGCGCGCCGACCTGGCCAGGGTGGTGTCCGGTGGCCCACGCGTCCGGGGAAGGCCAGGCCTGGGTTTGCCTGCCGCGGGCGGTCTCCGTGGCAGAAGGTGCCCCTTGCCAGGGTCCTTTCAGGGACTCCTGGTTTTGCGTGGGACGGAGCCTGGGGACCGAATTCCTGCTCCGGCCGCGCGCCACGGTGCGTGGGATCCCAGTGGAGGGGCTTGCGGAGGAGCTTGCGGAGAAACGCGTCCCTATGTCCGGGGCAGCGGCGCCGAATGGCCGCTCTGGCGTGGCTGAGGAAGAGGAAGCCTAGCCGGCGCGAGTTGGGGAGCGGCGCCCGTGTGCATGATGAAATCCTCGCGGCGCGCCGCCCCCTCCAGCCTTGGCCGCCCCACCCCGCGGCCCGGCCCCCTCGCAGGGGCACAGCAGATCCGAGGCGTGCGGGCTGTCCGGGAGCGCCGAGATTCTCGTCCACTAGTGCCTCGTACTCCGCAGCGCAGGGTCCTGAGGCCCCAAAGCTTGAGCACGTGGCCGTCGTACGTTGTCACTGTTTTCCCAGACTGAAAGAGAAGTACCAGCCGGGTGCTTTTATTAGATATCCCCTAAGGAAAAGTTGCCAGGGACCCGTCTTGCCACCCTTAATTCGATTTCTTTTCCTCTTGCTTGGCCTTGTGTAGCCCGTGTTGTTCCCTTTGTCTGGGTTATGGTATACTTACCGGAACGTTTTCTGACAAACCTGGCGTTTTTCAAGTGAGGCTGTGAAGCAGCTATTTAGGCTGGACAAGGAGGTAGCCCGTAAAGGCTCAGGTAGCCCCCTCCCTTTGCCCCCTTTGTGTTGGGGGCGGGGATGTGTAACATGTGTAGCCATAACCAGGCTACCTGTGTAGGCAGCTCGGGACCACTGCTCGATGTGGTCTTGGAGATGGGGAACTTGGCAGCCTACAGCAAACCTCCTTCCCTTTGAAGGTCTTTGGTGGGTAAAGGGAGATGGGGCTTCTGCACCAGAGGTAGGAGCTCAGTTCCAGCCTTTGTTGAATGTTCCTTGGGGCAAGCACAGAGCACCATCCATAGCCCGGGGCAACCCAGCTGCTGCTGCCCAAATCGGTGAGCCTGGTCCACCTCAGCTCCCCAAGGTGGGGACTCCTCCTCCAGAGCCCACTCACCTCACCTCTGCCAGGGTTGGCAGCTGACCTGACATTCTCCACACCAGTCAGTCCTGAGCCCTGTTGGTCAGTCTAGAGTTAGCATGGGAATTACCTGGGGCCCTGATTTAAAAGTAGATTAGATTTGTATTGTGTGGATCTAAGGTGCTGGGGTGTGCCCAAGATTCCAGCCTTGCTTTCTACCTTTTTTTTTTTTTTTTTTTGAGACAGGGCCTTGCTTTGTAGTTCAGGCTGGCCTTGGACTCACTATGTAGCCTAAGCTGGTTTTGAACCAAGTCCTGGGATTATAGGTGTGAGCCACCATGCCTGGCTAATTCCTGCATTTCTAACCAGCACCCACAGAACACACTCAGTAACATGAATTCATAGAGTGCTATATAACTCTCCATACCTTTCTAGATCCCTGGCAACTGGTGAAAAGTGATGATTATGCAGAGAATGGCGGTGCACACCTGTAATACCAGCACTCTGGGAGGCTGAGGCAGGAAGATAGCAATTTAGAGCCCAGCCTGGACAACTTACCGATTTAGCAAGACTCCCATCTCAGAATTAAAAAAGGGCTGAGGATGTAGCTCAGTGCAGAGGCTGATTTCAATCCCCAGCACTACCCCCCCCAAAAAAAGAAAAAAGTGATGATTGTATCTAGGTAAACTTACCCTTGAGGTTGGGTTTTTTGTCTAAGCCAGGGTCTGGAGAGCCAGGGTTTTGACAGAACAACTACCTGGCTTGCTTCCAGGAGCTGTCAGCTCCTCTGGAAGAACTTTTGGAGTAAGTCACTCCAGCTGGGAGTGTCCCAGCCTTCCCTCTTCCCTCTTCCCTCTTCCCTCTTCCCTCTGCATCCGGTTAACTCCTCGTGGTTGTTAACCCCTTGCAGGCTGAACTACTGATAAGAGAAATTTGCTGAAAGGAATGCTTTCGAGACAGGGTCTCACTATGTAGTTCAGGCTGGCCTCAAACACACAGTGATTTTCCTTTCTCAGCCTCCCAACTGTTGGAATTAAAGGTGTGCGGCACCATTCCTGGCCTGAAGGGAACGTGTGTGAATATTTGAGTCTGGAGCTAGGAGGGGTCTTGAAGGTCTCTGGCAAAACCTTTGAGTGGGTCAGCACCCTTCTTCCTCTCCCTCAGCCGGTCTGCAGGTTACCAGCTTGGAGTTGGAGGTCTGGAAGTCTGACCCTGGGCTGTTAATGGAATTACAGGGTTATCAGAAGTGAGCAGCTAGGGCTGCAGGTGTTAATGGCACGCTGTTTAGCTAGGCAAGCAGAGGTTCATGCTGGGAGCTCACCCCAGCAGCTGTCCAGTCTCCCACCGTGCAGGGCAGGGCAGGGGGAGGTATGTTGGGCCCCCAGGCCTTGGTCACATGGCAGAGAGAAGTTAGTGTTGAGGACAGACTTAAGGACAGGCTGGAGAGCTTGGAAGAGAAGGCAGTGGAAATGGAATCTTCCCTCTTCCCATTCTGACCTGATCTGCCTTTCAGTGTTTGGAGCATGTGTACTGACTGCTGTGTCCCTCATTGCAGACCTCCGAGAGGATGGGGCTGTCCCTGGAGTAGATGCCCCGAAGTCTACAGTGGTGCCAAGCCTCCTTGTTTTTGTTTTTGTATGGTGCTAAGGATCGAACCCAGGACCTTCCCACTGAACTACATCTCCAGCCTGCTTTCCTTTGTAGTTTGAGACAGGGTCTCACTAAGTCAATATGCCCAGGCTGGGCTTAAACTTGTGATCCTCTTGCCTCAGGCTCCCAGAGTTCTGGGATTACAGGCAGGCGCCCAATCTAGACTCCGAAGACAGTGCAACTCCTAGGGTTGGGGTTGCCACTTAGGAAGATGAAACTGGAGATGTAGCTCAGTGGTGGGGGGCACTCACCCTAGATGGGTTCCTTCCACAGCACCATTAGGAAAAAAACATGCAGTGCACGATGGCACATACTTCGTAGCGCCAGCATCTTTGAGGCTGAAGCAGGTATAGTCCAGGCTGGCCTGGAACTTGTTAAATTGCTTGGGCTAGTCTTAAACTAACAGTCTTACTGCCTCAGCCTCCCTAGTACCTAGATGACAGTCCTGGGCCACCACACCCAGCACTGTTTGCTATTTAAGTGAGAACTCTTCCCTGGCTGTGTGGACTCTGGGTAAGAAATTATAGTCTAGTGAAGCAAGTACATCAGGTAGATTTCAATGGCTTTTAGAGGTTTGATTGTTTTTGCTCCCTGTAGTAGCAAAAAGGTCTTTCATTACCAAATTTGGTAAAAGAAAGATGGCAGGCATTACTGTGTCCATGAACCAGGCATGGTTCATAATCCCAGCTCTTGGGAGGCCGAGGCAGGAGGATCACCAAGAGTTGAAGATCAGCCTAGCTTGAACTTACTACATAGTGAGTTCAAGGTCAGCCTGAGCTACATATCCCCACCCTGTCTCAAAAAAAAAAAAAAAAAAAAAAAGTGGAACTGTGTCCATCTATTGATAGATAGACAGTAGCGAAGCATTTTCTCCTATGGACATTTTCCTTATGTCCTAGAAAATGAGTTTAGGAAGGAGTAGCAATATTGAAGAAAGGATTGTTTCTGAAGACAAGTTCTTACAGATAAATGTTCATTTGTACATGTAAATTCTTGAGTAATCAAACAGATGAAAAATCTATTACTTCACAAAAGTTCTTACAGATAAATGTTCATTTGTACATGTGAATTCTTGTGTAATCAAACAGATGAAAAATCTGTTACTTCACAAAAGTTCTTACAGATAAATGTTCATTTGTGCATGTGAATTCTTGAGTAGTCAAACAGATGAAAAACCTGTTACTTCATGGTCTGAGCCCCAGGCTGCTGTTTCCTGCTATGATTCATAGTGTGTCACATGTGTTTGTTTACATGAAGTTCTTTCAGAGTGGTCTTACTGGTCTTGGTATCCCTTAGATTTGGCCTCAGAAGGTGAAGACTTGAGCTAGGGGTGGTGGCACAGGCCTCCAATCCCAGCACTGGGAAGCTGAGGCAGGAAGATCACAAACTAGTCCCACCTGGGCAATTTATCGAGACCCCCGTCTCAAAAAATAAAGGGATTGAGGATGTAGCTCATTAGTAGAACATCCCTGGGTTTGATTCTCAGTAGAAAGTAAAAAAAAGGAAAAGAAAAAGAAAAAAGTAGGTGGAGGGTTGAGATGTAGCTCAGTGGTGGAGCACTTGCCCACCTCAAGCAAGGTACTGGTTCTGTCCCCAGCAACATGCACGCGCACGCACGCTCACATGCACCACTAATGGAAGAGATAAAGACTTGGGAAGAATGCTGGAATGGAATGAAAGCATCCTTGTGCCCAGCAGGATAACCTCATTTCTTTTCCATCCTGCCTCCTCCCCTGGGTTTGGCTTAATGATGTTTATGTTGCTGCAGGGCATGGTGGTTTCCCTCAGCATGCTGTCAGTCCACCCTGTCTCTAACTTCCCAGTTGTTTCTGTTCTGTGAATCCCCTCCCCACACTGAGCAGGGAGCAGGATGAAACTGGGTCCGTGGCATCAGGGACCCAGTTCCTTACTTGCCTCAACAAGAGTGGGTGACCTCTGCCCCAGCACTTGCGTACTCCACAGTGGGGCAGCAGCACACTTTGTGACCATTGAGAGAGCCCAGGGTAAGGGTCTCCTGGCTGCCCCTCTTGGTGGCAGTGATTGGACCAAGTTAGCTTTTGCTATATAATAAGTCATCTCAAAACTCAGTAATTTAAACAATGATTTGTTACTTCTGTGTTGAGCTTTTTTTTTTTTTTTTTTGAGACAGGGTCTGCTCTGTAGTCCAAACTGACCTTAAACTTACAACCAATCCTCCTGCCTCAGCCTCCTGCATACTGAGATTATAAGCATGTGCCACTACACTCTGCCCTCCTTGGGCATTCTTTACTAATCTTGCTTGAGCTGACTCATGTGACCACACAGAGTCTGCAGCTGGACTGCCCTAGGCTGGAAGGTCCGGTACAGCCTTTGCCACATGCCTGGGACATTCCTCGGACAGCAGGAAGCATGGAGCTCTATCTGTTCTCTAGGCTGATGACATCTAGTTTACCTGGAGGATCCTCAAAGACAGTGTCCCAGACCACATAGGGCCTAAGCCCAGAAGTCCAGTAGCATCACAGACGAAGACTTCTCTGAGCTAAAACAAGCCTGGGGCAGCCAGATTCCTAGAGGACAAGAGGAGGAGTGACTGCCATGCAGACAGACAGGTTGGGAGAAGTTAGGGCCCAGGTCTCCAGACAGCTGTCACAGGATCACACCTCCAAGAAGGGTCCTGTGGTTGCTGCCCATCCTACTATGTGGCCAGTGGGCCAGCCAGGTACAGCAGCCAACTAGAGATCAAGCCTGTGACTGGGGACAGGTACAGCCCTCCTGAAGACCTTTCATCTCACACCCTGGTCCTC